TTTATTCACCGAGTGGCCCACCTATCAAATTGATGTCTCTCCAATTTAGAGACAAGGATGTCATGTGGGAGAGCGTCGAACGCTAGGCACAAGTCCAGGTAGATGACATCAACCGCTCTACCCTGTCCATCAGTTCCGCAGCCCCATCATAGAAGGTCACCAAATTGGTCAGGCAGGATTTCCCCTTAGTGAAGCCATGCTGGCTGTCACCAAGCACCTTGTTGTTTTTCATGTGCCTTAGCATGCCTTCCAGGAGAATCTGCTCCAAGATTTTGCCAGGCACGGAGGTGAGACTGACTGGTCTGTAGTAACCTGAGTCATCCATTTTCTTCTTCTTGAAAATGGGGGTTATATTTCCCTTTTTCCAGTTCTCAGGAACTTCACTTAACTGCCATGATTTTTCAAATATAATGGACAGTGGCTTAGCAACTTCATTTGGAAGCCAGCTCTTTCAGGACCTGCGGATGGATTTCATTCAGGTCCCATGGACATGTGTATGTTCAAATTTTTAAGATGGTCTCGAACCAGATCCTCTCCTACAGTGGGCCCAAGGTCTTCATTCTCACAGTCCCTGCATCTGCCTTCCAAGACTTGGGTGGTGTGGTCAGAGCCTTTGCCAGTGAAGACTGAGGCAAAGAAGTCATTGAGGACCTCAGCCTTCTCCAAATCCTCCATAGCCCGTTCTCCCGATAGCTTCCGGAGGGGGCCTACGTTGTCCCTAGTCTGTTTTTTATTTGCTATGTACCTATAGAATCCCTTCCTGTTATCCTTAACATTCCTAGCCAAGTTTAATTCTAACTGGACCTTAGGAATTGATTCGTATATTCTGTCTTCTACTTCCAGTTAAACAGCAAAGCTGCAAGCGCCTGAATACCTTGCTCTGCGTAGCGTAAAAGTTGTTGTCAGTGCACAAGAGCACTTGGATTCTTAAATTTTAGGAAGAAGATACTCTGCCAAATATAGCATAATTCTGCTTCTCTTGAACTATCATAAAAAAAACAAAACAAAGAGAGACTAGACAGCTCTTAGGTTTTTTATATCATTGTACATCACTGAACTGTTAGATAACAGATCAAAGTGCTCAAACTCTACATAACAGCAACTAGAATGGAAATCCAGAGACCCTTCTTCACTTGACAGGACTAACACTTCAAAATTATGCAGCTAAGATCATACATACAATGGTGTTCAATCACAATTTTGGGAGACCTCCTTGCCAAACAACTGAAGCTGTCAGTACTTTCTTTTAATACCACTGCAACAGCTCCTAACACTCCATGTCCACCATCAGGACATTAGCACAGTCCAAACAGTGTCATAAATCTATTAAACTAGAAGTGGTACAGAAAGTCACTGAGCATTACAAATGCCACTCTGTACTCTTGTTCGTGTTAGCACTGCACACACTTGACCAGGAGGGCCACAACAGCACTCTGCTGTACACAGAGCTATGTTGTCTAAGCCTTCATATCTGGAAACGCAAATAAAATGCACTGTACTATTCCTGAATATTAATGATTCTTCCTATCAACTATTATTTACCCGGTTGCTTTTTTCAAGCAGAGCTGGCTGTGCCTGTGGTGTTATGCAACCCTCAGCAAATCCACATGCCTACTGATCCCTGAGATCTCAAGGTAACAGAGCTGGAACTGGAAAGCAGGCATCTTTCCTGCTTAAAGCTTTTCTCTGAAATACATCAGGGCATTTTACTAAAAACAATGACTCATTAAAAAAACCATAGGGACAAAAGGAGTTACAACTAAAACTTGGTAAAACTATCTCATGATAGTGAGATACAACTATAAAACTTTATCACAGATCTCATATCTCATACAATAAGATACAAAATATATAAAACTCTACCATCATGATGATATAACTAAAACTTCAGTACTTCCAACTATTAACTAATTATATTAACTTCATAGATGCACACTGTCAATGACCTGATATGCAGCTTACTTTGCATGGGGCAGCATTAGATGAAGGAAAACTGAAAAACTGTTTGTGTAGGGTGGTGCTACTTGTTTCTGCGCAAACAAAGCAGACTGAAGGCCAAGATACCAAACCAAACTGACAGTTTTTCAGAGTCCCACATAGGCACTGAAGACTGAGTAACATTAGCACTACCACCAGTTTCTGTTATATCATGGAAAAAACAAATAATACCTCAGTTAGAAAAACATTTGGGGCCTGTACGACCATGATAAAGACGAAGAAAGTACTACATTTTCAGCATGTCTCCTGTTCTTAAAAAGAGCTGAGCTGAAATAGTTTGAATTCCCTACCAGACCCTCTTATTACTTACCTCTAAGACCACCTAATTCATTTTCACTGCCCCTTTAACAACTCTTGAGAATGCAAGTTCTCAAGACCATATGACCTCATTAACTGGTGTATAAAATACTGCCCTCTTAGACAAACAAGAAGTTGCAAAATATTTGTAGGTTTCATACAGAGAGTACTTAATAATTACCTAAAAGCACCTTCAGCAAAGTACCAGTCAGTCTGTCCCCCCTTTCCCCAATAACTAGTTTCCAACATTTCTGCACATCAACATTTTTCTTTTGTATTAGTAGTACAAAAACATCCCGCTTAAATCAGTCCTACATATTTGCCTGATTCCAACCCTCCTGTATGGATAAGAACACTGTTTTCAAAACCTATTGCAACATCAACCTCTAGTACAAATACACACTCTAAAGGCATCCAACCGCACATTATTGTCTTCTCCTATCAGAAATAAATCAGACACAGATTTTGCCACCCTTTGATTCACATATTGCTGCCACCCCACTCTTCCCACTCTCTCTAAATGTTTCTCAGCATCTTTTCCCAGGTTTTTGGCCCTTGGACATTCTTTCAGACACTTAACATCATGGACATATGAAGAAGTAAACTTATGGTGGGATCTACGTTTAACAAACTATTACGCAAAGGATGAGTTGTCTGAGTGTCCCTGGAAGACACATGCTGTGTGATACCTGTCAAGCCATTTTTCATCTTTATGAGCTGTGAAACTACTAATCCATTAACAGCAGTGAGGTTTATAGAAAGCACAAAACATATAGAATTGCAGTATTTTTTCCTTAATTCCATATTTAAATGTCTGTTCAATCACCTTGACTATTTATTATTCCATTCTTCTACTACAGTAATCCTTGCCTGGCAAAATTAGTGCAAGTTTTCAACAGTTATTTTGCCATCAAACAGTTTCCTTTAAAAGAACAAAAACCACTTAGTGCTAGATTTATTGCGCATCTTGTTACAGTAAGCTTTTACTTTCTATTAATGGCAAACAGATTTCTGACAAACTGGTCAGTGTACTTACAGGGAGAGAAGCAATCGTGTTTGACACGTGAATTCCTACCACTGATATAGTCCTAATCTAGATTCTGCAGAAGACAACTTAATGCTGCTTTAAAAAACACATACACAAATCTCAAGCCACCTTCAAGGGATAAAAATGATAGCTACATTACACCAAACATGCTTTATTCTAAAAAAGATATGCATGACAAACAGAACTGAAGAGTACAGTCAGAGCTTGGACAGAGCAATTAATTCCCAGGTCAGTAATTCTTGGTGTCAAAACCAACTAGTGAGCACAGTGAAAGCTGGCATTGAGACTATCAACGCAAGCTCTGTACTTCAGACACAGATATGGGAAAATCTACAGGCCATGGGAAAGGAGGTAGGGGAAGAAAAGCTTATAATTTTTTGTAAAAAGTGATGTAACAAATTAAACAAATCATTACTAAGCCAGAAGCTTAAATCATTAAAATATAAAAACCTTTAACTAATGTAAGCTCTTGTATCAATCTGGACATCTGTGATGCAAGGTAACTCCAACGAATGGGAAAAGTAAATTTGCAAACACATCACTTAGAAGGAATTTTTCCGTTTCAGAAAAGGCAAGATAAATAATTCTGAAAGGGCAGGAAGTGTGCCACCACTTCAAATCACAATAGCCAAACCTACTGTAATTCTGGGTTACAGTACCACAGACACTGCAGTCACAGACGGCTTAGTTCCCTTGCACGTTGTAACACAAGCACTACAAGCAGCGCCTTTTTAACAGGCGACAGACACTCTTAACTGCAGCCTTTTTTCAACTGGTTTCCTCCGCGAAAAGCATTTCACAGATGTTTTTATTCAATTTCTCGTCACTTTCAAAGCCCTAACAGACAGATAGAGACAACATCTGCAAAGCTCTCAGGTACAGGGAAATACACGAGACGGGCGTGTATCGGGTGAGAAAGCCTTAAGAGATTTCGCAACGTGAAGGAGGAAGAGAGGCCAGCAAATCTAAGTGTCCGTCCACAGAACGGCACCGTCACTGCTCCGTGCAAAAAAGTTGGGGTGCCTCTCCCAACGGAGGCCAGAGGTAAGGGAATGCCCTTTTCTGTGTCAACATGGCTTCAAGGGAAAAAGAAAATAACAAAAAAAAACCACAACAAAACAACGAACCAAAAACCAAAACACCACCACAAAGACAAACACAGAACACCCCGAAAATTCCAATACATGTTAAAAAGGAAACTTAAACACTGGAACATGTTCCCCAGAGAAACTGTGGCCGCTCCATCCCCGACAGTGCTCAAAGCCAGGCTGGACGGGGCTTGGAGCAATCTGGTCTAGTAGAAGATGCTCCTGCCCGTAGCAGACGGTTTGGAAATGCATAATCTTTAATGTCCTTTCGAACCCAACCCACTCCGTGATCCCAAGATCCAAATGAAAACTGCAGGCCTCTCCAGCCTCCACCTCCCCGCTCCCGGCGGGAGAAGACCTCTCCTCCCACGCACGCTCCGGCCCTGTGCCCCCTCAATCCGTCCACCAGCCCGCAACCCCACTTTCTCTAGGGATCCCCATCGGCGGCAGCGGCCCGGCCAGAGACGTCAGGACGTGGCCATCCTGGAAGGCCGGAACGAGGAGAATGAGCACCCAGCCAGATCCCGGCCCCGGGCCCTCCCCACCTCGCGGCGGCGGGAAGCACCTACCAGCTGCTGCCGGACCCACCGCAACATCCCCGGAGGCACAGGTCGCGGCCCCCGCGGCGGGTCTCCCTTGGCAATGCCGCGCCCTCCGCTGTCGCTGTCGCCGCCACCGCCGACTCAGGCCAGCCGCCAGCCGCGGCTCCTCCCCATGGCGCAGGGGCCCGACGCCGATTAGGAGCAGCACAGCCCCCCCGGCGCCCCCAGGCGCCGCGACTGCCAGCGCCCCAGAGCCGCCATCACTGGGCTGCCGCTGACACCCCGCGGCTGGCGGCGCTCCGGCCCGCCCCCAGGAAGTGACGTATTAGGGCGAGGGGAGGTAGGAAGAGATGTTGGGAGCCCAGGGGTCAGGGTGAAGGGGGGGGGGGGGCGTGCGGTCAGGCCAGTGATCCGCCCGAGCTGTGTGAGTGGGGTGGATCGCTGGTCCCCCTTTCTTCATTGTCCCGAGGTGCTGCTTCTGCCTAGTAACCTGAGTCTAGGTAGCCCCTACAGAGTCTTGGGCAGGGTTGGCCAAAAAAGGTGCCAGCCTCCATACCGGAGCCTCAGCCGCAGCCTGTGAACGGGGGCGTCTGCGGCTCTTGAGACTCGCCTTTTCTATTGAAGTGAAGCGACTTCACAACTTAATTGTTTTTACCTTTGTTTTCTTGTAAAAAGCTGCAGAACATGCACGTTGGAATAAAGACTTAGAAAAGAGGCCTGATAACTACTGATTTAAACTTAAAAAGCAAGTGCACAGCCCACAGGTATCCCAAAGTAAGGTACACATGTTGGGATATCTGGTACCATTCTCTTTTCCTGCTACTGGCGGTATGGTGCTAAACTGCTTTTTGGTTACAATTGGGTGGTGAAATGTGTTGATGTCAGCCGATGATCTCTTTGAAATCTTCTACTTTGCTCTGAAAACAGCTGCTGCTTATGAAAACAAAACAGTATTCAGCTTCAAGCATAGGCACACCAATACAACTCTGCAGCTCCTGGGCCTGTGTGGATAAGAACTAAAGGAGATTATTTTAAGCAGTAAAGACCTGGGTATTTGTGACCAAATAGTGTTGTCAGTAAAGTCAATGACAACTTTGACACTGACTTAAAAAGAAGGCTTTTTGCATGTGGAGAGCAGAGGACTATTCCTGCCATTCCTATTAGTTCTCAGGTAAATATGATACATGGCAACAAATCATAATTGTGTTTGCTATAGAGCTAATGTAGTTTTCAATCAGAAATGTAGAACATAATTCAGGACTTAAGATGGATGATACAATATTTGAATAACTGAATCTTCTGGTGAATACCGACGGTTTAGGCATCTCCATTTAATAAAAAAAATAAGTTTAAAACAGTAGGGAATAAAACTATTTTTATCAAGCACTTAGGAAAGCTAATGTTAGCGCAACTATTAAATGCTAGGCATTATTTTAAAATATTTAAATACATCAAAGCTGAGTTTCAAACAGCTTGCACTACCCTATTCATCTAATATGAAGTCTAAAATAACAGTGATTTCATAGCTATGGCATGTTGCCTGGAGAGTGGCCTTAAGCCAGAAACTTAACTGATGCACTCAATATTCTTCTGTTCCTCCTTTATCACCAGATGTAAACCAGGGTCCTGACCACTACAGGATAAAGTCATATGCCATTTCTCTGAAGTGCAAGTGTATCTGTTGCAGTGACCCTGTCGAATTCAAGTATGAGTTGCACTTCCTGCAAGCCTCTATTTGCATGGCTTGCAGTTGCGTTATGTAAAGCTACTTTACAGTTTGTGTTCCACATTGCTGTAATGATACTATTTCACCAGACAAAAATTTGTAAGCAATTTACAAGTTTCTTGAACGCTGCAGTTTATATTTTTCAGTTTTAGAAAGTATGTATTTTAGTGGATGAAAGTACATTGATAGGATGAAATTATTTTGCCATGTGTGGCAGAAGGCTCTGGCTGCATTAGTTTGCCAGTATACATAAAAATTCCACCAGAATAACATCCTTACCTAGCATTCTGGCTGGTAAAACTTTGCACCTTTTAAATTGCTCAAAAGCCCATGCTAGACATCTGTGAAGTTTTATTTCACCCTTGAAGGATAAATAGTTTTCAGAAGAGAAAAGTTGAAGCTGAGCAGCCAATCTAGATATTGATTAGCCAATGAAACTCCAGCACTTCTGAAATCAAAGATCAACTGTATTAAGAATGAAGATGCCCATATCAGAGATCCCATTTTAAAATACTGCCCTGAAGCCCCACCTGAATTTGCACAGCTGGCTTGTATGGAAAAAGCTGAAGAAAAAAGTCCCCTGCTGATAGGAATACTAGATTTAGCCCATCACCGAGGCTTTGTTGATGAGACTCCAAGCTTTCCAGTTAAGTATGTATGAGAGCAATGACTTCAGATGTTTGTTTAGGAAGATGAGGACACAAATGTCTGATATAAAAATATGTACACAAACATAAAAGCACACATGTAAATGTTAGGTCCAGCAAGCTTTTAATTATATGTGCATCAGTAATTCTTATGTAATCAATGCTACTACTTTTAGGTTTATAAAATCATTGCCTGAACATGTAACGTCACATTGACACTGGGGCTCCTGGTGTTACGCCCTAAGCATTTCCATTATTCTTGGAATAATTTTTGGGGGGCATTCTTCAGCAGGAGCTGGTGAAGTGTTGTCATGCTGTATGGCCACATGTAATCTATGATAAGATGAGATGGAAGTGTGTCACTGATTGCAGAGGGTGGGCTGCCTCCAGCATTCCTGCCTTTGAAACTTTGGGACACTTGGTAGCTGAATCTTTTCACCTGCCACATCCCTGGGTGCACCGGCTACATCACAGGCTGCTGCTGCAGTGTAAACAAGGCATGTGACAGCAAAGAGGGCTGGTGCACTCTGATGCACTGGCAGTGAGGCAGCCCAGGTCTTGTGCTGCATCTAGTAAGCACCTCTGTCCTTCGAGGCCAAGCAGAAAAACAGCAGAGCCTAAGAGGAGTGGAGCAGCAATGTAGGTTTGTGTAGCAAAGGACTACTAATAGGTCCTTACAGTACACTGTTTTCCTGGTGAATAATTCCTCTCACTTACTATTTTGTTTATAATTAAATATGTTGTAATTTCTTTAAATTAGTATTTTAATCTATGCCTTATTTATTTAAGTAACTACGGTGCTAATTGAAAATATACATAAACTATAAAAATGCCTGTTTTTTCTCTAATTCATAGAGAGAAAGCTGCCTGCAAGACACAGGGTTTCTTCAAGGCATCTTATTCCACAGGCATTCAATTACTGGTTGAAGCACCAATTATATATAGATAATCAGTGGCTGATTTTCAGTCACAAGGCGCTTCATCTAACCACACATGTGGATTCTTGCCTAGAGCAAGCAGTCTTCAGGGAAAAAGTAAGAGACCTGGAAAATGTACTGAGCTTTTTAAAGGAAAACCTTGTGTGTAGTTTGTATTTTTTTTTCTTTTCTTGTGCCCTGCAAGAAGAAAGATGAGATTAAATTAGAGGATGCACAAGGTGACATGTCCAAGACACTTACTGGATCTACACAATAGTGCATATATTTCTTCTTCTTACCCATTCCCTCAGTTGCTAAACCTGGATTGTGATGTAAAACCTCCCCTTTTTATTGCTGTTTTTTTTTCTTTTCACTTGAAGGCTTTGTTTACAGTGTAGAGATTCAACTTCTACCTAACACATTAAGCTCAATAGAGTCAGATCCCAGAGCACCAATTGGAAGGCCAACCTATGAGGTTCCTTGCACCCACATGGTGGATTTTGCACTGCACCACACTCCACAAAAAACAGTTCTGCACTTAGAATCATAGAACCATAAAACAGTTTGGTGTGGAAGGGACCTACAAAGGTCATCTAGTCCAACCTTTCTGCAATGAGCAGGGATATTTTCAACAAGACCTGGTTGCTCAGAACCACATCCAGCCCAGCCTTGAATGTCTCCAGGGATGGCACATCTACCACCTCTCTGGGCAACCTGGCTGTGGAATAGCCTGGTGGGCTAAATGCAAGTCAGAGAGTTTATGGTCAGTGCTACCCAGTTTGCAAAGCCCCAGGAAAACGGTGAGCTTTGGAAAAAACAGTTCATCCTCCCTTTCAGCCTCACTATTGACTTTTTAGTTATGTGTTGCCTGTAAGCCAAAATGTTTGGCTTGTGAGTTTCTCTAGAACTGCTTTTTTCTCCCTAGGAAAGCAGTCCAAGATTAGAGGAAACAGGAAATGTTTCAAAGCCATTCTTTATCTTCATGAAGTTGAGTATAACCAAGATGAAGAATAAAACTCTGCTTGTTCCTGCCCCTTCCCTTTCTTCCCTTTTTTCCCATTTTTTCCTCTTTTGCTTTTCCTTCTTTATAACAGAAGAACTAAATTTTGAACCCATAGCTCATAAGGTTTGGAACATCTCCAGTGGCCCCTTGTTTGATGGAAACTGGACTCATAATCTTTCAAAACAGGATTTTGTCAGGAAATGTGTTAAGATTAGTCAGTTAATTGCTATTATATCCTCGACAGTGACATAATTTTGCTATTCTGCATTTTAAATATGGATATCTTATAAAATGTGAATTTTTCTCCAGACTCTTTACTGAATCATAGAATGGAAAGAACCCTAAGATCATCAAGTTCCAACCCCCTGCCATGGGCAGGGACTCCTCGCAATATGCCATGTCACCCAAACCTCTGCCCAGCCTGGGCTTGAACACTGCCAGGGATGGAGCATTTACAACTTCCTGGGCAACTTGTTCCCCTGCCTCACCACCCTCACAGTAAAAAGTATCTTTCTTTTATCTAACCTGAACTTCTCTTGTTTTAGTTTAAACCAATTGTCCTATCATTACATTCCCTGATGAAGAGTCACTCTCCAGCATCCTTGTAGGCCCCCTTCAGATACTGGAAGGCTGCTATGAGGTCTCTACACAGCTTCTCTTCTCCAGGCTGAACAGCCCCAACTTTCTCAGCCTATCTACAAATGATTTATAAAAATATACTTTTCCAACTATTTCACTTATACTCACCCCGTTATTACAGTTTGTTTTTCTAATTTATATGCTCAAGTGATTACTGGACATAGTCATAAAACACCTAATTGTTAGCCATGTCCTGGGTTCTCCCTCCAGGAGTGCGGGGAGGCAGAAGGGTAGGGAGTAAGCAAGCAGCTTCATGGTTCTGAGTTACCAGCTGTGCTTAAACCATGACAAGCCATTGTAAAAATTTGCCAGGCAGAAAAGGATGTTGGGATTTCTTGATAGATGCTCATCTCCTAATGTATTCT